CAGGGGGCTCGGTAGGGAAACCATCACCCCACGGCACAAACAAGCTCCCCCCCGCATGAACCCTGCGTCAGCACTGGAGCACAAACCAAGGGCAGCTGTTGCTCCACAGCCTACCAGGGAAATCCACGTGGGAAAAAACACTGCTCCGGGGCACTTAAGGGAGAGACGGGGACTGTTGTCAGTTATTGGGGTTTTACAGGGCAAAGACAGAACCTGGGAAAAAAATGGACTAAAAGTATCTTGGTGCTCTGTGTCCAGCACGGTGGAGGGTGGCACCTCTTCTTCCCACGTGGTGACACCTCAACTGCCTTATTTCAGGGAAACAGCTACACTGCACCGCATGTTCGCCCTCTCTCCAGCACAGGTTAGTTACAACCGAGGCCAAGAAGAGGGACGAAAATATCAGTTCCTACACTATAAATACACCATGAGTCTTCCCAACGATGCAGGGACCCACCAGGACTTGAGCGAGATCCAGAAGGGATGGCACGGAAGGCACCGTGACACAACCGCTATTCCCATGCTCAGTGAGGAGGAGGAGGGGTGAGCTGCCCTCACAGTGACAGGGTAGCCCACCCCCCAGATACTCGGTGGCTGGCAGACAGGAAGGGTCTCCACAAATGGTAGCTCTTGAGGAAGCCCATCAAGTCTGAAGGATCCTTCAAGACACCCCCAAACCACCAGAACCTCACCCCGGGCAGACTCTGCCAGGCGTCCAGGCAGGCAGACGCAGCCACCTAACACCCCATCCCCGGAGATCAGCCACCAGTGACCAACACCCTTCCTCGCACAATCTGCTTTCAGCATCTCATCACCCTCACAGCCTGTCAACAGGAGATGACGACGAGACCTTCCTCCTCCACGGGGTGACCAATCTATGCTCACAGTGACAGGAACGAGCGCCCCAGTAGGACACAGACGCTCGGTGCTCCTGGGAAAGAGGCAAAGGCACCCGCCGTGACCTGAGCATGGCTAAGTTTGTTCGGTCACGGTACACAGGGCAGTGTAATGGCATCCACCTCTGCTGCTCACGGCCTTCTCAGAACCTGCGCGCTTTTATGTCTTCACACTACAGCCATGCCAAGCAGGGGTTACAGGTTACAGCTACCTGCTGCTTTCTGCAGCTCACTCTCCCTCTCCAACCAGCAGCCTTAGCTGGGAGCTGATACTCGTGTCAGTAATTTCTAAGGAGTGTTGGTGCAGAGCAAGGCTGAGTAATGGTCTACCAAGACTTGCTGTAGGTCTGGACAGGCCTGTTGAACAACCCCATCTTTGTAAGTCATTTGCCTGAAAAAACCTATTTACTACTTCTCACGTTCTAGTACTTAAAAAACTTCCTAATCATCTTTTACTCTCCTGTTGCTGAGAAGGAAGACACACATGTTGCTACAGAAAGATGCCTGTGGACAAGGTCTTCCCCCTTAGGCTTTCCTTTAGCACTTCATCTCCTGCTCTACAGCTTTTTGCCCCTACGGGCATTCTGACGTGCTACTGCAGCATAACCTATTCCCACTTCAGCTCAAAAGAAGGAAATTCATGAGCCCACATCAGCGTTTAGATACCCAATATATACAGAATTCAGAAACCAAGGCCTTGCAAAGGCTTTTTACTAACTTCCACTTCACTTGGAGCTCTGAGTCTATTACAGGACTTGAAACTGGTTTTGCTGACAGGAAAAAAATTTTAAAAACAAACCTCTTCACAATCCTCCTCTGCTCTAGGCCTAAGTGCCACTTGGGTTTGGAGAAAGTGGAGATGATTTGGTGGGCTGAAAGTCCTCGAACTGGCTCAGTTTCCTGTTGCACCGAGATGACGTGGACAAAGAGGGTTAAAGACTGTTGTTTCCAATTTCTGACAACGGGGATACTGGAAAGAGTTCAGCACCTCAGAGGGAAGTTCACACTTTCTCCAGTCGCAGAGCCCTGAGCACACCACCCAGGGAACCAGACTGGCTGGGCAAGAAGCCAGATCAAGGCACGTGACCTACCAGCACCCCAAAAGGGCTCCAGCTGCTACACCCAGACGGGAACCTCAACTGCCAGTGAGATCCTTCACATCCCGCTGGACTCCTGAGCACCGACCGAGGGTTTTAGTGCTGGGATCTGGGGTCTGTACGGCCGGCATCACCTGCAGCCCTGTCTGAGGCAGCCTTCTGGTCACCGTGGAGGGCTTTGCTATGGAAAGTACGAGGTGCTGAGACGGGAGGGCAGGGGCTGGGTGAACTCTGAGGCCAGCAACGGGCTGTCCAGCCCCAGGTAGCCACAGTGGGCACAGGGCCAGGGCAGGGATGAAAAGAGGCCTTCATAGGGAGCACAAAGGGCAGCCTGTGATCTGTGAGCGCCGGGAGCTTAAGTGTGGAGCAGCGCGGAGCGTTGCGGTTCTGATGAACGTTAAATAAACTTGTTTACTGAAAGGCAGGGCTGCATGTGTATGCACGGAGACCAGAGGGCTGTCTGTGTGCCCTTCCCTTCTTTGTCTGCTCAAGGCAGGAAATTTCCTTTTCTAAGGGGGTAAAAAGCAGAAAAAATTCCACTGTGCACTGAAAGCCCCTGGACTGGGGACAGGTACTTCTCCGCTCCTAAAGTGGCAGCAAATCCTTCTGCTCCTGGGACGGCTTACCATACAGGCTGGTTCCCTGCTGCCTGGCTGTGAGGTAGCAGAGAAGAACCAGCTCAAGAGGGCTCAACTCCCTCTAAAATGTGACTGAAAGCACAGTCTCTCCTACACTCCAGAATCTGAATATTGCATTCATCAGTGCAAAAGCTCTTCAAGAGCTTCCGGCGTTGCCGAGTGTGACTCACCCAGTAAAGGAATCAAGTGAACTCGGGGTATTTCATGGAAGCAAAGTGACACAGGAAAGCACGGCTGCAAAGCCGATCCAGGAGCAAGTACACAGGAAAGCTGGCAAGGAAGGAGACTGAGCACATACACACCGGATACTGGAAACTTAAAACAGTGTAAAAAACTCAGAGAGGAAGCAGATGAAAGTTTCACTGGAAATGAATCAATTTCTGCAGAGTGAAACAGACTACCAGGTAAGAAAATACCTAACCTGGTTTTGGGGAAGAGGAATTCCACTGCTTCTGGGCACATGAGCAAGCTACAAACTGAAACTGTGCTTAAATGATTACGTTCCACTACATAAAAATCAAAGCTCTAGGTTCAAGAAGGAAAACATCGACTTTTTAGTGCTCATTTCTTAGTTAAAGGTTTCCCATCAAGGTGTCCTACAAGGGGAGGATCTGTGGGAGAAACACCCAGCTACAGTAATTCTGTTCTTGCACTGGCAGATGTTCCAGCTAGGCACAGTGACAAATTCCCATCCCATATGAAAGCTCCTTTAAGGAGAAATAATTTCATTTGCTAGAAGGCTGGCCAGGATATCCCTGCTCGGCAAGATGCTCAGAACAAACTGGGGGGAAAACTATGATCCAGACTTGCTCCAGGTCTTGGAAGGCAGAACAAGAATTTCGGAAAACAAGGGCTGTGCTCCTGCCTGTTACCCTGGCCGAGCCATTCCCTCACAGCCTCGCCTGAGCTTAAAGAAAGAGGCTCTGAGGGAAGCAGTTCCCCACCGGAGTTTGCACCCGTACGCTCAGAGCCCATCTGTGGAGCTGGTCCGGCAGCCCCTTTTCCCCTATTTGTCTAACCCACCTCAGCTGCCTCTGAGGCCGACTGAGCCCTTGGTTCCCCTCAGCCCCCAGAGCTGTGCTGAAAGCAGGAGCAGGTAAGGCTGAAATTGCTAACCACCTCCTTAAAAACCATCACCTCACAGCACAGGTGTTTCTCACCAACCGTTCCCATGCCCTCGCTGAACACGAGTCACAGCCCCGTACCTTCCTAGCAGTGCCGCCTGCCTCGGGGTACCCAGCTCTAGGCAAACGCAAGCCTCAGCTTTTGACTGAGCTCAACATTTTCAGACTCTTTCATATTTCTACTTACAGCAGCTGCGGAGTGCTCTGCTGCAGCAGAAAGCATAGAAGGGACCAGAAATTGGCACACGTGCTTCAGCCAGAAAAAATGTTTCTTTTCACAATTTTAACTTCTTCTGACCATTACAAGCTGACAGGTGACCTGTCCCATCAGCTGCCAGGAGCATCCCACCTACTGCTGACCCATCTGTCTACGGATCTACTGTCACAGTGCTCGAGGAGGCACTGCTGCTGTTCAGCTTCAGGGAAACGACAATGGATTTTCTCCATCTTCCCCAACAGAAACACTGTCTCAGGCTGGAGAATACCGTCTTACTCCCCACCACCCACCCATCCCAAAGCTGGTTCCCATTAATCCATTACAATTCAATAAATACTTTGTATGTTTTCAGGGGAGGGAGAGGAGGTTAGCAAGGAGAGAGAGACAGGTTAGTAAAAGACAGCCCATGCTTTTGGGCCTTAAATGCAAACAAAGCTCCTTACCTGTCAGCACAGCAGGGACCAGGATGCCGCACAGCGTTAGCACGACCAGGCGAAGGGCTCTGTGGTAGGGCATGGCTCCCCTCAGGAAAAGCGTCGGCAGGAATTCTTAAAACTCTAAGTACGAAACAACCTGGACATTTCACTGGTATAATAAAAAAAAACTTTGTCCAGTCAGGGGAAAAAAAAAAAAAATTCCTTCCCAACAGCAAGTGGACGGAGTGCGCCAAGCCCGGCAGACTCTCTCCCCGACTTGCAGAGCACACCTCCTCCTGAAGGCAGCTCCACCCTCTGCAAGTTGTGCCGAAAACCCCATAGGCAGCCCAGCCGTTAGGCATCCATCACCCTGCCCGGCAAGCACACACACAAGCAGTTGTTGGCCAGCCCTTCCCAAAGGATGCGGGGATGCTCCCGGAACGCCTTCCCGTCGGCTGGCCACCCCGCGGCAGGGGAAATAACACAGGAGGCATTGGGGCAGCTAACCCCAAAACCAAGCCAACTGCCCAAGGACTTCGCTCTCCCCACGGTGTGCAGGGTGGCGGTGGTACTGTGGGCACAGCGATAGAACAAGGGCTTCAATCTTTCAAGGCTAAGATGCTTGGAAACGGAGCCAGAGCGGCTCCGTGGCATCCTTGGTTTCTGGGTGTAATACTTACAGAGGAGGACTGGGAGCCGTGCGTGGTCTCCGCTGGCAGAACTGCCCGTTACTGTCTCGGGTACGTCTCCCAGGAGTCACCTCTGTCAGGCAAGGTCAGAGTCTTCCCCGGATCTCAGCCGCACAAGCACTACCCTCCTCCTGCAACCCCCTGCCACGCTGCCCCTCCGCTCCACGCGGGCTCGTGAGAAGTTCCCAGCAGAGAAAACCGAGGTTTGTTTCAAACCGCAGTTGCACCGACAAGAGATTTGGGAAAGGAGAAGGGTATGAAAAGGGGACAACTCCTAGCTTGTCTGGACAATCTCATTAGGATTTTTTTAAGTTGATGCGAGGATGAAATACTTGATGGTTTTCATTCAGAAAAATACGTAAGATAATACACAAACACCCCCAATGTCTTTATGCTCTGAAAATATGACATGAGTAGTTTTGTCTAAAATTTCAGACTTTTCTGCCAAGAGATCTCTTTGCTTTTTGTCTGTCCCTGACAGGCAGCCACATCCAGTTCGGGTGTCCTTTTAAATCCCTCTGCTTGCCGCAGGTCTTTGCAAAAGTGCCCGGCTGCGAGGGGAAGCAGGAAAAACAGAGGACTGAGCACTGTCCTACAGCGAAATGAGAGCCAGGAAGTAGCCTGGTGAAGCGTGCTCCAAAGAAACCTCAGGCATCTCTAGCAACAAATCCACCATCATCTGTCAGACTTGGATCAAGGGCTCATTAAGCTTTTCAGGTTCATGTTCTGCCTGAAAAGGAGCTGGAAGTGAGAAATATATATATCCGCCAGCATACACAATGCTGTAGCTCCCGTTTTTCCCATCCCTACTGACGGATGTGGCCCTTGCTACAGAAACAGGCCCTGCCCGTCACAGAAGGTGACAGGGCAATCACCCGAGCACGCAACCCGAACATGCCAGCATCTTACCTTTGTACTAAATACAGAAGTCAGAATATTTAAATATTTAGAGAAAGATCTTCCCCACTGGCCCATTACCTACACATTCTCAGAGGCCAAGCAAAGTCCTCGGGGTTGGACAAATTATTGCACGTTTCCCTGCTTGCACTTCTGCTTTTTCATTTAGTAATTGGCAAATTGTTCCTTTCCTGCCCCCCAGCTGAGCTGGAAATTAAGAGGCTTTTGCTTATTTGCTACACAGAACAGAGCAGTCCAAAATTAGCTTGTGTAAATTAGATCATGGCATTAGAAAATAGGAAGTACTTATGAACCAGACACCTTATACACTAAAAAGATATTAAACCAAAAGAGAAAGTATCAGCCTGAACGTGTTCTCTCCACGACATCAGCTAAACATAACGCAAAGCTATTGCAGAAGGTACTTTACTGACTTCTTACTCTTCATGATCATGTGAACGGCAGAAGGACACTCACCATCAACTTTTACTGGGATTTTCCACACAAAACCAAGCAGCAAGTAGGAAAAAAGGGAAAATAAGATTTTGTCTGTCTCAAATAGGAAGCCTACAAGGTGTCCTTGTGGATGGTACTCTGAGGGGAGAAATAAATCCTCTCATTTAGGGAAGGGAATTGGAGTGGGTGGGGTGGTTACCGACCAGCAAAAAAAAAGGCTCCGCGGCCGAGTGCTTGTAGTAACAGAAAACCAGCCACGGCTTGATGTCTCCTGCGTAAACACCACGAGCGTGAATGCACGTGTTTCTGTGCAGGGAGCCGGGGGGGGAATTAAAGCTTTCTTGTCAGAACTCTCCAATCTCAACTTACTGGTGTTTATTTGAACTCTAAAATTATCAAGCAGAAAAAACCCACCGGTATTCCTCACCAGGGAAGCAATAATGCAGCAGTTGTTCCACATCCTGTGTGTTTGCTTGTTGCTTCCTGAAGAGAACTGATGAGAGTGGAGTTTTGGGTCAGTTTTAGCACCAGGAATTATCTCAAAACTCAGCTTCGACAAAAGCAAGCAGAAAGTTTTCTCTCAGATATAATACAACCAGGTTTTATTTAAGTTCTCTCTTTCCCCCCCCCACACTGGCAAAAGTTCAGAGGGAGTTTAAAGTTTTGTAAACATTTTAACTACCCCTCTTCCCCCTTTTATGAATTTACAAAGCAAAGGAGACAGGGAGACCAGATTTGCAACAGTTCCAAGTCTCTCCATGCTATTGGATCCAAAAACTATATACAAGTCTGCAGCAGTCTCTGTATAGTTACTGTACATGTCTGGGGACAGGGGGAAGAGAGAGGAGGAGGAGGAGGGGAAGGTGACCCCAAAAAATGAATAAACCAAACAAAATAAAATCCAAAGCCAAACTGCTCTTGAGCGACTCGAACTGTTTTCTTTAGGCAGTGATGACAACGACAGACACCTTTATACAACTCCACCGAAACTGCAGCGTATCTCCCTTGGCAGGTTATAGCCCTCTGGGAATGGGAGATGGGACCAGGGGGTTGAAACTAAGTGCATTTGGCAGTTTTCGTTTTCTTTCTTTCGCGGTATGTGTACGTGGGTGAGGGGAGAAGGGAAGGTGGTGGTAATCTTCTGGTGAGAGAGGAAGGTTATGATTCCATAAATACGTCAACATTATGGATCCCAGTGAAAGTGTGTGAAGTAGTTTAAGGTGTAGAAGATAAGCAGGGCCGTCATTGCACATAGCTTCGCCCTCCACAGTCTCTCTTCGTGACAAAAGGGCATCTCTGCTCGTTAACCTAAGCACTGCTTGAAATGACAACTAGCTAAGACTGCTGGGGTATATATCTGAAAGCCAGTGTTCACCCTCACCAAAGACTAAAGATCCACACAGTAAAGATCCTACTGTCTCTTAAACGAGACAAATTTGCAGGAAAAGAGCTCAAAATAAACTGGTCCTAACCCTCCGAAGGTAGCATTTAAGGGATAAATTCAACCTGAAAGAAGAGATGCCACCCCCTTTTTTTTTTTATCCCAGAGTAGAAGTCCCCACTTGTCCAGGAAGGCTGGAGTATGCCGACAGGGAATTCCACCAGCTTCAGCATCACCACCTAATGAAGACAGCCTCGAGCTTTCCCTCCAAAAATAATGTGCTGAGAAGGGCTGGCAGGGGGTGTGCAACTTCAAACCAACCCAAGCTAAACTGCGCCCGCCACCGCCCCTCTCCTGCTGTTGCCAGTTCTAAGGTTAGCTTATGAATGCAACTCCTGGCCTGGGAGAGCACCTCTTGCCCTGATGGAGCGCGGAAGTCAGTATCTGTGTGGCGTTTTGGTTTTGACCAACATCTGTTAACCACAAACACTCTCTCTCTCCGTGACTGCACGTGTTGGATGTGGTAAGAGTAACCAGAAGAGGGAAGCAATGGTTTGCAGAATCCCAATTGATTTTTTTTTTCCAGGTATGTCAGCAGAAGAAATCACAGCACAGTGAAAGCTTGCTGCCCAAATCAGCCTCGTTGTGAACGAATCCTATCTCCCACCCTCCCAGGACTCTGAACCAAGTCCGCTCGACTCTAGGCTGACAGTAGGAACAACGCCTGTGCAGTCCTGGGCAGAAAGGGTTTGCTGGGGCTAGAGGAAGCAGCCTGAGATGATTGATTCTGTGATTCACTGCGAGGCAAAGAAGAACGCATGGTGGAGAGCACTGTGTCCAAAACGGAGAATCCATGGTTAACAGATGCAGGGAAAGCCAGTTGATTTGCACATGCTCAGTAGTCTTCCAAAGTCTCTATTTCTCCCATATTGAGCCGCTCTGATGAGGCATTCACTGAAAACCCTGTAAACCAAAAAGGACATGTGTTAAAAACCTGGATGCAGTAAATTGTGTTTGATGCAACACATCTGTTACACACTGTGGCACGTGTGAGATAACATGAACAATACGTATCAAATAAAGACTCAGGGGCAATTCAGTAAGGCTAGAGAGAATTACCTAAACTGGGTTTTTTCCTTAATAAATCAAAGATAATCAATTGTATCACTCGGCCTTTGAACAGCGATCAGAAGCCTGGTTTCAGCTCTCCTTCACAAGATGCCATCTGCAGAGCTAGCGCGAAGCGCATCTCGGCGTGGTGGCAATGCGGCTCAGCAACGTCTTGGAAAGGAGCATGCCTGAGGCTACTGGGCTTGGAAGTGCCTGTCAACAAGGCACTCACACGGTCCAAAAGGCAGAAATAGGCATTTTGTGAACTCAGAATCCAAGCGTGGAATCAGGCTCAAGACTTCAGGGGGTGTGAGCCATTCTGCCCCTTACTTTAAATACCTATGAAATCTACCGGCGATTCCTTCCATCTCCACGATTTTTCTTCCCCCCCCCACCCCCCATCTTCTACCTCAGGAGTACAACATGAAAATGTGAAAAGTTACACAGGGCTACACACATGGCTCAACATGTACCTAAACTTCTACCCAAACTTTTAATCTAAGTGCTGAGGACATGATGCACATGAGAAAACTGAGGAAAAGCCCAACCATTTTCTACAAGGAAAAAACCCAGTACATCCTATGCAACTTTCCTACTGAAATCCAATTTCTGGGGGTGTACCAACCCCACGTGGAGTATAAGAAAAAGGGAAGTTTTCTCGTGTAAGGTTACTAATCACAAACCTGACATCTCATAGTCTTGAGACTATGTCAGCTTGCTCTCTGCTACAAAACACACCACTTTTCAGTCATCCTCAACAGAGAAAACGCACTCTGTTGAGTGGGTTTACAAAATTGTTCTGGCTCCCTCTCGTGGCAGCATGTTACCTAAAAGGTTCTGAAATTCTTTTGTAAGTCTCCTGATTTTTAAGAAGCTACATATATGCTGGTTCTCTTACAGTTGCAACTTCTTAATTGTATTTAGTGATTTCTTCTTCACGTTACATGAGCAGGTTTTTAAGTTATTCAACTGATCAGACTCACTGGCTTGGCATCTAGGGGTGGCGTGAGTCAGGATTCCACTGAAGAGTTCAGTATACTTCACTGCAGAAACCACTGATTTAACTGAAGAGTGTTTTTGAAGAATTGAAGAGTTTAATTGAAGAGTTCGATCTTTTTGAGAACAAAAAGGGAAGATAAAGAACAAAGGCAGGGCTCTGTTAGAGCCTTAAAAAAGCAGCGACTTCCAGGTGGTGAATACCAGGCTGCTTTATAGAAGTGTGAGCTAAGTAGCACCAGCACAACAAATACTGACCCAGTGTGGTGCCCTAGTTTCTTTTTTATCCCCCAGGGCACAAACGTGAACACATTTATTCTACACGAATACCACAGCGACCCATTACATCCCACAATGTCCACTACTCATGTGCTTCCACGACGCCCTTGTATCTTAAGGGCCACCTTAAAGAAACCTTTCCATCAGTGCTGTAGGGGCTTGTTAACGACCATCCTCCCACAAGAATTAACAGAGAGGAAAAAAGGCCTAGTAATTACATCACCATCTCTACTGCCTCCAGTTCAAATCTTGAGAAAAAGTCAAAAAGGGGTCACGAGACCTTGCCATCTTTTCTGACTCTTCGCTCCTGTCAAAAGGTAGGAAGGGATAAAGGCAAACCTCGAGAAGCTGTTCCTCATGTAGAAACAGAAAACAGTGCTCCTCTTAAAAGAATGCATTAGCCTGAATTCAACAAAATAGGCACAGGTCAACTCAAGAGAGGAAAGGCAGTTTAGATATCCCTGAAGTACTTAAAGGTTTCCAAGTAGTAACCAAGGCACTGAAGAGGCCTTTTCAAGAGGGCAAGCTTGACAAAACTCTTCCATGAAACCGATAAACATTTTTAAACCATTAAATAATACTGAAACAAATTCTGAAGATGCTTCAACAACCACCTTTTCTGCACAAACTCAATAATCCCATTTAAGATTAACAAAAATTCCACGCTCCAGAAGACTTTTCCCAAATTAAACATTCATTTCTCAAAATTAAAACTGACCTAGCAAGCTGGGATCTGCACGAACCATTTTCTGCTTCTTCTTTTTCTTCCCACTCTGCACAGCCTCAAAATTGGATTGCTGGTTGTTGCTCTGATTGGTCTGAAAGACCGAATGTAGCGAACTGTGGTTCATCCCCCACACTGAATCCTAGAAAACAAAGCAAGTACAAGGCTATAAAGGGCAATTAAGTTTGGGGTATTGATACTGGAAACGTTCTGAGAGCCCAAAGCACTTTCCACATCACATGTGGCAGCACTAACCACTGATGCATCCAACCTTATACCTCATCTTTCTAAAGCATATCCTACATCAGCGTGCTAAGACCCTATCTGATCTACAGTTGGCCTCGACTGTTGAAGAAAACTTGATTCTGCAGAAAGTATTTGAAATCTGCTTTATCCTCTACATTTCACATAACCTGTAAAATCCTGCCCATTCTCCTATAAATCCAGCAGAAATGCAGACTCTTCTGACACAAGTACAGTCTCTAAACACTCCTAAGGACCACAGTGAGTAAGATTTACCTGTTGCTGCTGCTGTTGTCGCTGCTGACTGGCTTTCTGTTTGGCACGGCGCTCAAGAAACTGCTTGGCAAACTCCTTGGCCTCAGGAGTATCTCCAAGATAGGCTCTGATGTAATCATGGACCTCATAGGGAGACTCGACTTCCTTCAGGAAAGAAACAAACGTGGGAACTGCAAGAAGAAGGCAGACCATGAGGGAATGCATGTTAGTGTGTCAACACACGCATGCAACAAACAAACTTTGGATTTCTGTTTCAAATATTTGCTAATCCAGTAGCCATGGCAAACAGTTCGCCCTTTTCAGTTCCTTACAATGCAACACTTCCTCTATTCTACAGTCAAGGCAAGGATAAGAAAGCCAGCTAATACGATGAGAAGGAAAAATAAACTGACAGTCTTAAGGGTATGTTAGTCCATCAGCTTTAGCCACTGCCAGCTTTAAAGCTCATGTTTAACGCCAGGCCCAAATGGAAAATACTCCCCTCAGAGCTGCCATCAGTACAGCCTCTTTTTGGCTAGAGTACGGCAGATCACACTCCACAGTAGCTGACCTGACCTGCAAGCACTTAAGTGCAACAGCAAGCTCACTTGTAAACCTTTACTGTCTTTTTTTCTTTAGAACACCTTTGCTGCACTGAATTTTTTAACAAGAAGTATAAAGCAAACCACATGCCAGAAGACACCGGGACAACCGGCTGCCACTTGTGGCACAAAATACCCTTGGAGGCATGGAGGCTCACTGCAGAGGCATGACCCACAATGGTTTTATTTCCATGGCCACCAAAAATCCTCAGCAGAGCTCTGATTGGCAGACTTCAAATCTGTTTCCAGTCCCCACTGATTTGCTATAGTTAGGCCAGCAAAAGCCATGGATAAAATGATGCAGCCAGTTCTTCTGACCACTAGTTAATGGTGCCGATTTGCTGACTGCATTAAAAATCGTACTTTGATGTCATTACTTTCCCTCAGAACTAGTCGTCAGGAAACAAACTGGATATTGTTTCTCACAGTGGATCATTTACGTTCCTCCCCACCTCTTACCATCTAAGTTGTTGGCTGTGTTAAGTGCATGAAGCATCTGTTCACACCACTGAGTGAATCCATCCTGGGCTTTATTAACCCCCTGGAACAATTTCAACAGCTTCTCCTCTTCTTCCACCTTCTTGTTTTGTCTACTTGTAATACCTACAGATTTACTGAGATAAAGAACATAAAATAAATTATAAGTTACCAGACCTAACAGTACAGCATAGAGCACACTGTTACAAGACTCACTAGTAAACATGACGCAAACACTTTTTAAGAACCTACTAATTTTCCAAACAGATGACCAAATAAAATTGTGAATGGTCACCTATTAGCTATTTTTGTTGTCAAAACAGATTCTGAGATAGAAAAAAAAAAAAGGAAAAACACATGAAGATGTTATAACTGCTAAGTGATCATCTCAGGAGTGGTAGCTTTTCTTTGTAAAAGCTCCTTCCCCAATTCCTACCTGAGGCTGGCATTGCTTTTGTTTTTATTGGTCGAGTTACGAGGTCCCACTTCCTTCACTGCATCATCCCAGAAACCCATGTTTGAGTTTTTGGTATCAGCATTACTCCAGATGCTACTGACTAGGTCAGATGCCCACTGGTTGCTGGGATTAGTGTTTAGGGAGCCCCACACTGAATTCCCAATGCTGGTGTGCAGGTTAGAGTGCTGTTGAAACATAACAAAGAGATCCTGGTTATTAGCACCAGACCTGGCAGAAGAGTAGTGAACAGACATGGACTGTCACGTACTGTTTCCCTCCACGTACTGATTAGATCAATTCTGTACGCACCGTAGTATTTCTGACTCTGTTCGGCTGCTGGTGCTGCTGTTGCTGCTGTTTCTGCATCTGCCTTGCCTCTTCCTGCTGTATCTCCAGCAGGGACTTGGTGGTGCCTGTTGGTTTGGTGACATTACCCCAGCCTGACAACTTCTGTTGCTGTTGCTGCTGCTGTTGCTGGAGGGCCTTCATTAGTTCACGCTGCTGACGCCTCTGCTGTTTCATGCAAGACAAAAGTGCTTGTCCGTACTTTTAGAAGATCATTACTATTCAAATTCTGGCTGGGAAACTGGGTTTAAACTGACTTCACCTGCTTCTGGAGGAGTCTGGCAGACCTATTATTTTTTGAGCCATTAGAGTTCCTTCAAAAAGGGAGATGCTAAGTAACCAGTAAATACCAACTTTTTATTAGCCTAGGACAGACTAAATTTGTCAAATCATGACTGCAGCCAGTAAAGATTTTAAGGTCTTGAAGGAATACCTTCTCTCTTATCATGGCTTATTGTCATTGTCTCCTCACTCAAACTGATTTAAACTGCCCTGGTCTTGTGCATATCTGAAAAAATTAAGAGTACAGCTGTGAAATAATTACATATTGTTTTGTAAACAGATTAGCCTCCTAGAACTGAAATGGTACAGCTTTCCCTCCTTTCAGATATTTGTATTAAGCAGCTATAAAACCTTTCAAACAAGTAGTGACTGAAACTATGCCTCAAAGATAGGATTTCACCGGAGTTACGCTACTTCAAAAGTCATTCCTCATCCTCACCATTCTTCTAATAACTTAATCAACAGTTAAACAGTCACAGAGTTGACTCGACTCTAACAAGTCACACCGTTACTGTGACTATTTACCTCTTCTCGAAGCTGCCGTTCTCGTTCTTCTTCTAACTTTTGGATTTCTGCCAATGACAGTGTGGTCTGGGATTGACAAGCTCCTGAATTTGACTGCTGACCCCATGTTGAAGATGAAGGGAGCTGGGCCAAAAAAACACATCATTAGGAGTTGCAAAGCATTTCAGAGAATATTGCTGAAGTATAATAATCAAAAATCAGTATAAGCCCACAGCACAAAGGAAAGAAAGGCCACCTTGAAAGTTTAACACACACATAATTACGTATGAAAAAATAACAAGTATAAACTGTATGTTTCTTTGAATTGCCCTCTGATGTACCATACTGTCAAACACACGGTCTATCAAGAATAACACAACACATCACTGCCTGAAAAATAGAAATCAGTTCTGATTTCAAGGACGTTAGGAACTCCAACCTTGAGCACTGGCCCTTGCTCACTGCAGCAGAATAAACATCTGTACTCATCTGTCAATCCCTTTCCAGTACACTTCTAACAACCCAACCTTTTTTGTTTTGTAACTTGGCTTCCTCTTGTTTCTCCCAACCCTTTCAGAGTCAACCATTTACCCTCTTCTGTCTCCAGGTGGTTCATCCATCCCTGCTCTGTTCAAGCTAGTCTAGACAACCCTGCATCCAGCTGTGGTTCCACTTACGACACTGAACTGAAGGAGGAAGCTGAACTGCAGAAACACTTTACCTTCATTTGTGCAAGTTGCTGCTGTTGCTGCTGTTGTTGCAGTCGTCGTAAAGCCTCCTGCTGCTGCTGCCTCTGTCTCATTATTTCTTTCTGGCGCTGGAGTTCCAGCTCCTTGCGCTTTCGCTCTTCTTCTTCAAGCCGTTGTCTGGCTGCTTCTTCTTCCATGCGTAGCCGACTTTCTTCAAGTCGCCGCTGAGCTTCCTCCTCTTCACGTGCCCACTTGGCCGCCTCCTCTTCCTTTCCAGGACATAAAGAAGAATAAAGTCTAAATAGACTCAGAAAATCTAAATTACTCCTCCCATGTGGTACTGACGTTCTGAGAGAAGAGAGAGAGGCTTTGATATCTGTAGTCTGTGCTGTCTAGGTTGTTCACTGACCTTTACATTTCTCAGGCAAGAAAGCCCAATAATACACTCTGAATCACCTAAAAATACAAGTTTCCCATTGCTCCACCAAGGAACTTGGAAGAGAATGACATATCCGTCGCTCAGACTACCTAATCTCACACCACTTCCCCTTAGGAGTCATGCACCTTTCAGCCTGAGTTGCTATCTGCCGGTACTACTTACAGTCAAGTACCGCTACCCTTTCAGTCAAATAAAACTTGACAGGAACAAAGGGAGAAGAGGTTTTGACATGAAAGAAGAAAACAGGTGACACAGACAGTGATGTTAACTGCTGTTACTCAATACTAGAGCTGTAAAGGGAAAGATGCTCCTGCTAACAAAGCAGATGACTGTGTGGCAGGACAGAAATGGTGATTAATGTCTTCTATAAGGGAGGGTCCTGAAAAATTATTTTTAAATAGTAACTGGCAATTCTGAAATGAACTTGGAAGTTTATGTGAAACAAATCCTGTTTCAACATTAGTTTGATTTCGGGACTGTGACTGTATCAATTTAGGGGGCTGGAAGCTCAAGTTCCCCTGTATAAACTTCTAAAGCTGATACCAAGGGCAGAAAAACAACTTTTAATAGTAAGACAAGAAAAAGGAAAGAAAAAGGCTGAAACTTTGATAGTGGGTATAGTCTGGGCACAGACAAAGACTGGCAGAACTGGTCATGTCAGATGATGCTACTGATAACAGAGTAATGGCCCAGAGTGTGACAATTCAATTCTTATTCTGGTACTCTGCCTTTCTTTTGAAGAACTGAGTATAAGTATCATGCTGTAAAGCTATTTTTGAAGCTCAAATGCAAAGGAAAACTCATTCAATGCAAATCTCTTCTGAAGAGCAGACTGGATTCTGATTATTTCATCTGAAATCAGGATATAGGCAAACCACCTATTTTTCATTCACTTGATACGGTCCCCAAACTTTGCTTTCCTCCATCAAAACTGATGGTCTCGGGCACAGATGCAAGTGGGAGAGCTTGTTTTGGCAGCCTCATTTGCCATTTTTCACCTGTTTACGAATTAACTCCTCTCGCTGCCGTCTTTCCTCCTCTTCTCTTCTTCTCTCTTCCAATCTTCTAAGTGCTTCCTCCTGTTGTTGCCGCTCCTCTTCCTCCCGCTGCCGCCTTAGTGCAATTTCCTGCTCCCGTTGTCGCCTCAGGGCTTCCTCCTGGAGTTGGGAACAAAACGTCAATCTGTAAATGCCATTTTATTGACGGGCCACATCAGAACACACACTACAACATGGTCTGGCCAGATAAACGGCCTCAAGCAAAGCTCCTTAGCTCCAGGCTAAGCACTACCAAAACAACTACATTAAACACTACAGACCTACACGTTAACAAGATTTTTGATGCAATGTGCATCTCGTACATAAATAAACTGTTTTAATGAAAAAAGAAACACATGAAATCATTGCCTAGCTTTGGTTTTAAAAAGAATGGTGTTGAGAATGAAACCAAGGGTCAGACTCCTCTTTCCAATATATGTATTTTTTAATGTATGGGTATCGATTCCTTTTTTCGGGGGGTGTCAGCTATAAGCTGGAAGCTTTTCCTAGTTACAAGAGTTTCTAAACCCTGACTAGCCAAGTGCACTATAAAACTCAAACCACATCTCCACACAGCAGAAATAGGCTGAAGCAGCCCAGTGCATTTAAGGGCACTGTAACCTTTGGAAGTCTTGGAGATGGGGAAGTTGATGGAAGGGCTTGGACAGGGATATTCCTATACTATTTAAAAAATTATGGGCAACAAAGGGTCTGGAGGGTTTTGATTGTGGGCTATCCCTAGATTATTTAAATAGTTTCCAATAAGTTATGTTTTGCTTTCCAAGGAGCAAAATTATTTACTTTCTTTAAAGAATCAGTACCCTTTCCTGCTGGTCTAAAGATCAACATAAATTTTTCCATTCTGCTACTTGCTTTTTGGAGGATTAGGGCACAACCAGCCTTCATCTGGCTTCCTGTGTATTGTTAAACAGAAGCACATCTGTGTGACTCTTCCCCCCCATTCTGATTTTCCCTTCCATAAAATCGCCTTGGTTTTTGCTGCCTTTTCTGATCTCTGAAGTCTAGAAACTGTGTGAAGGGCACCCTGCTCTTCATCCCTTCTATTCTCCTCTCCACTTTCTCACTTCTCCTACCAGCTCAACCTGAAGATCCTCCTTCTTGGACAAGAACTATTTAAAGCTTTCATAAATGTATTTTCCTTTTGAACAATCAGTACTGTGCTATCATACTCTTAGGAGCTTTTTAATACATTATTCACAGGATGGAGGGAGACTAATCGTGCAGCGTGATACAAAGTTTGAACTCTGGTAAATCAGGGAAGAAATCTACGACCCTTTTACTAAATCTGACAGCAAACTTCCATATACACACAGCCTGTAATGCAGTTCACTGAACAACTACACCAGGTTTCTCTCTGACAGGGGCTAACTTCAGATGTCTACAACATAACTGTCCAGTAGACAGAACAGTTTTTATAAGAGCAATCCTATGGCACTGAGGAGCTGCTGGCTGCAAGCGAAGAAGGAATTCAAATTCCTGTATATCACTTCAGTGCAAAATGTAAGTTTCTATTCCACTAGCTGGACATAAACCAGCAGCCTGTGAATCATTTTCTCATTAAACAAGTCCTGGATTTGTCATATTCACTAAATCTTCAAGCACAACACAAAACACCTAGACCATTTTTCTAACTTGGGCCTGTAACTGGATGAATTGGACACATGTAGTCAAGTCACGATAACCAAGTGTCCTCAATCCAAGTGCTGAAAAATTCTGGTGGTTAGTTTTGCTGAAAAGGCTACTGAGGAGGCTGGAGGTGTGCCAGTGTTTTGTTTGACTAGAGACCACACACCAGGATCTCCGCTCAGGATGCCTAGCCACCAGCAAGACTGGGGGGATGTTTGGCACTAGTCACTGACGTAACACGTAGTGCCTGAGAGCATTGACCAAAGTCACCAAGTCCTCCTTTATGACAGAGTTTACTGACATCCCTGACCTAGTTCCCCTTTGGGAAATGAGGCTAGAACTGCCACTAAAAAGCTGTAAGGGTCTCTCTTGCTCAGGCATGACAGGAGAGACACTGTTGAATGACAGCAATTAAAAAAAATACTTCTCTCCCCTAGAGAACTGAGGATGAATAGTGTTGTACCGACACAAGGAAAAAATCTGCAGGATTATGAAAAGCTGGGAACGATGTGGCTGATGTAATTCTTTTTTCCTACTCTTCACAGCTATAAAAAAAGGTTGTCTTAATATTTACTTCTGTATCTTCTTATTATTTCAATGTTTTTGTTTGAGCATGTGACTGAAAACAAAAAGCTCTCCAGCTTTCTGACACTGACTTGTGTGGGAATCACTCATTCCTTTGGCTCTTACTGCTCCCATACTCATGACCTCCTGCTCCAACAGAATCCCAATATTCTTTAACATCTTTTCCAGTAATTGCTTTCAAGCACACGTGTTGCTGTACAGACAACTTATTTCAGATCTTTTCATGTATCTGTAAGATTGCAGAAAATCCTTCAGAGGCAAGCCTCATTTCAATAAACCAGGAATACTTAAATAAACTATAGATTTTTTTTGCAGTTAGTAACACCTGCAATTCTGCTGGTCTAGGTTACCAGGGCTTACACATCTTTTAGTTTTGTGGATCTCATCTTTGAAATAGGTACTTTAAAGGGAGCACTAAAGATATAATTCAAAGAAAACAATTATTAGCTCATTATTAAACCTCAAATTTTGTTCCTGAGAGCGATCAATCATTACAAAACAGAAGATATCAGACCAGAAACAAAAAAGAAATACAGGAGCTACACAAGCTGGGCATTACTGTTTGCAATTCTACAGTGCAAGTAATTGATGAAAACTGTGAACAGAACGGGATTCAACATTTGGTATGACATTTCATCCTATAGAATTGAATTTCTATTATTTTTTTTTATTTAGAATTCACCATCAACAGCATATTTACTAACCTTATATACTAGTCTTTTATGCAGTATTACATCAAAAGCCTTCCTGAAGTCCAGGCAGATTAAGTCTACTGCTTCACCCCTCTCAGCTCTCACTGTCATCTCCTCAAAAGAAGTTAATCAAATTTGTTAAGCATCATCTCCTCTGTATAAATCCATGCTAATAAATCAGTTCATCCCTGTTTCTACAATGCCTTCCAGTACAGAAGTCATTCAAATAGTAGACCTTTTTTTTAAATATACAGAATACAGTATTATTTTTCTCTTTCCAGAGAAGTGCTTAAACTCTTTGTTACCTTTTCAAGACATTACTGCTCAGGATTAAGCATTGTGGCAATTATTCCATTGGTAATGCACTAAGATACTTGCTGTTACTGCTTTTCAACCCCATTCTGCTTTCTCCTTGGCAAATAATTATTTCCCGTGACATCTCAGAAAGGGAGAGTCAGATTGTTTACTGTACAAATCCAAAGAGGACAAAAAACTTCAGAATTTAATGGACATTTCTAAGTAGTTACACACAGTAGCAAAACTGTTAGTCTGAAAAGAAACAAACAAAGTCTATTTGAAGCCACCATGGATGAAACACATTGAGTTACCAGGTGATCAACTGAAGAATTGATTATTAAAACAGACCTAAAGCAACTTAACTTGAAAGTTAAACTTTTGAGTATATTATTGCTTTAGTGCTACAGTAAAGCTTGAACTTGAGCATAAAAGGATGCTCTTCCACTTCATACCATGACTTGCTGTACACAAAGTAGATAAAGCAAGGAGCCATTTATTTGAGTCTTAAAGATACCATGAAAGCTAACTACATATCACCCTGCAGTCTATTATAATAGATCTTCAGTGACAAAGCCCAAACACCAAGTGAATCGAGGTCTACGACTAACTTACAAATAGAACTGAAGATTCTAGAGGCTTCCTCAGAAGTGTCTGATCCTTAAATCAGGAAATACTCTTTACAACTGTCTACCTAAGCATATAGGAAATATTATAAAAGGACAAAACTCTTTATTACTTTTGCCGGTTATTCATGTGCTGCTTTTCAGGGCATTTATTGGCTAACTCCTTAGTGAATAAGCTCAACAATGTGCTTGCCCTTATCCTTCACATGCACAGCAAAAACTTTTACCTTTCACTACCTTTCCCTCCTACAACACTTAAGGAACAATTAATCTTTCTTCCATACAGAATTCAGACATAAATGCTAGAAATGTCAAGCTACTAATGTCTCCATTTCACATTCTTGTAAGACCAAGAATATACTACAACTCCTCCACTCATTCTCCTACTGCAACACAGATCACGTCATTCATTTTAGCAATTCTGCTTCTCCAAACTAAATCCCTTCCTTTTCCAAATATCAACTCAAGACAACAAAGCTGACAGACTCGAAGACATAACCCAGATGATAATTTATTTTAAAAAATTGGTTACTAATTAAAAAAAGGAGATAATAAGCTAAATTTCACCTCACTTTTTTCCACAACAGCCCTCTTCATTTTCATAATTTGAAATAGCTGCTCAAGCTCTAGTCTGCTCCAGAACATACCCTTCTCAAAACTAGGCTGCATAAATGGTGAATAAAGATTAATCATACAATAACTGGGCAACCAACTGGTCTATTATTGACACTAAGAAGTTGAGAGAGAATATTCCACACGGAATACAGCCTCTCAGCTCACAAACAGGAACCTATCTTGAAGCAAACCAAAGCCCATTTCTCAGATTGAAATCTGGGCTCTTAAACTTCAAATCAAGAACAGAAGAATCATTTCATATACTCACATGAAAAATATTAGAACTGTCTTCATACACACCTACCCAAGATTAAGTAGACCCCACAGGATTCTTAAAGTGAGTTTTATAAGGTATTAAAATTAGAGATGAACTACATCGAGGAAACTCACTTGCTTCCTGCGGGCCAGTTCTTCTTCTTCCCGTCGTTTCCTCTCATCTTCCTGCTGCCTCCTAAGTAGCTCTTCTTGTTGCCTCCGAAGCTCCTCCTGCCTTTTCCTCTCCTCTTCCTCTCGTTTGGCCCTCATTTCCACTTCTCTCCTCTCTTGCTCTAGCTACAATTCACATAAAACTATACTCAGATGCAGGTAACGTATTCCTACACCATGTCTTAGGGCAACTCTGCTGAGATTATAGTAACAACATAACAGATGAGGCCTCTTACAGATGCTCTCCCTTAATTATAAATTTACCTCTCAGCTGGCTGCCTACTGGGGTCAGATTCCTGAAATAGTCTGGAATAATTTCTGACAACTTCTGTTCTGTAACGAACACCAGTTCTCTAGTCAGTCTTTCTACATCAGCTCCTTAAAATAACCTCTGACTTCAGACTAGTAGCAAGTTGCTTTGCAGTCACAATAAAATAATCAGTTGCAGGAAATGTACAGAATCATACAGGTCCAAACTTACAAAACCAATTTAATATTAGAGTAAGTGTGAAACAACCCTGGCAAACAGGACCTCTTGCGATTCCCCAAACCAACCCTGGTGAAAAGATGCAAGGATTAAGAGAACAACTACCTTCTCCTACTCAAGGTTTGGCATGACAGCTCATGATGATCCCATTTTAAGACAGAGGTGGCTAGTGAAGAGTTTTCAATCACAAGTGTAAAAAACATAACCACTACTTTAGAGGTCAGCAGTATCTCCACAGCAATGGTTACCAAGCAGCAGTCCACAAAGATTTCAGCGCAGGTTTGTATAACCCAAATTATGTTTATGGTGTTTTGCATTAAAATCCAATCAAAATCGTACAGAACGGTGTGAAGATTGAAGTGCTAACAGTCTTCCATTGGCTCAAGAAACACAATTACACTGCAGAACAGCAATCCCAACTTCTTACAGTACAAAACAGTTTCTGACCTTTGCAGCTTTGGCCTTCTCGAGCTGCTGAAGTTGTTCTAGAGCTGGTCCCTGAGCTGCAGTATCAATGGGGAGATCCCAGACACTGCTTCCTTCCCAGACTAGATAGTGAAAAAAACAAACATTGACAAGCAAAAACAAGCACATCAACAGAAAACAACTAAAAGGGGAAAACCTTATGTATGCAGTTACTACATTTTATGAACTAAAATCATGATACTACATTAGTCTTAGTCAGTAGAGGGCCTCCTTATCTTCATGTAGAACAAGGCTTGTGCATTACTGAAGCAAGGCTGGGTTTCCTACAAGACCCAGCTATTCAAACTCCTCCCATCAGAAAACACCACCTTTATAATGTAACACTCAATCCCTTTGGATCAAGGCTTCCCATATCCATAGGAAAAATTACCATATTCTTCACAGCTCTCAAATGGAATTTAAACTGCAAGGCAAAGTAGCCTGAATCACTTTAAAAATACTGATGCAGACATAATTTCCCCTGGTGTCAAAAAGGGATCAATCACCCCAAAGATGCTGGCTCTTAATCCATGATCTCTTCTCAACATATCTAACACATGCTTTAAGCATCTTACCTGTCGGTTGTGAAGCTGACTGAAGTTCCCATATCGAGCCAGTATCCGGCACTGACACAGACCTTGTAACAGGCGGCATCATGTTCTGTTCAGATATTCTGGAATATCAACAGGAAGAGTCAACATGCCACTTCCAGGGAGAGGAGTGCTCTGAACATGCATGAGATTCAGTAACTTGTAACATACTCCTTTCCTTTCACACCTCTATTTAAAACAAAAACAGGATGCAGACAATACTATTTGGTTGCAGAGTTCTTGCTCTGCTCATCCCTGCTGCCAAGTCAAAGGCTAAACCAGCTACTGCTATTGTTTAGCATTTGCTGCTTATAGACTAGTCTGAAGAACGAGCATCTCGTATTGCAGAACTCAACTGGCAAAGCTGTTCTGTTACCAGCACAACAGATATGTCAAAAAAGGCATGATTTCAACTATAAGATCTTCCTCTTTATTTTCATAAACATTCTCTGACGTAAAGGCTACATATATAAAACAGTATTCGACATCCGCCAACTGTTTCATATTCACTCAATCCTTAAAATTTGTAATGCTCAAATCTGAGCAAACTTGAATAGAACAGACCACTGACAAGATTATCATTATATACAAGTTAGAGTATAGGAAGAATAGTATTCAGTCCAAGTCTGAGCTGACTCACCTCATCTTCAGGGCCTGGAACTGTTGCAAGAGAATAGCAAGCTGCTGCTGCTGCTGCGATGAAAGGGCTGCCTTTTGTTGCTGTGCCAGCACCTGGGCATACTGTTGTCTTCAAAAGAGAAGCAGAGAATCACTGGTATTTTTTCACTTGCTTATTCATACAATGCCCAAGTTGCAGAAGCTGCACACAGATTCATTCTCTGGGACTAATGCGCACTGACCTATGTAATGCACGTTAAATAACAGAGGAAACCACAGACTGGGGCCTTGGAAAGAATCCAAAGACAAGAATATAACAAACGGGCCCACATGAGCAGAACCACACTTCTCTTCAGCCTCAACTATGTCAACTGGTAATTGCTGCCCAATGTGTCTCTTATAAGCTCTGCAACACTACTTCCCCTTTCCTATAAACTACACAGATTGCTCAAATTAATCTGGCTTTGATGACTGCCCACATACACAAATCAATCTCTTCCCCAGTATGCCAAGGCATCCCATCGTGCAGGGGGGGGCAGGCTCCTGCCTCATCCAATCAGTATTCAAAAAAGCATAATCATGGCACATGCTTCCAGGACACCCTGAACGACTAGTCTTAACTGAGTGCTCTCTTTCTCCAAGCTGCTACAAAACAAGTTAGGAACTGGACAGAATTGAACAATGCACAACTTTGGCAAAAATGGATGACAAACTGCTTTCTCCAGCAGTTACCTTCCACTGATCTTCAAAAAGCTGACCAAACAGACCAAAAGTAAGTCCTGCCTGCCCCATCTCCAGTTCTAAAGACATGTAGCCTTCCCCTAACTCAAACATCTGAACTGCATTACAAGGATAGCTGGGATGCAGTCTCACCATCACAGCTACCTATACATCAATTCTCACCAATGCAGCTATGCATGACACCAAAGACGACTTTAAAAAGTGCACTTAAGGTAGCCACGCTGTCCTAATCCTGCAGACTATTGAGCCTCGGGTGTTTGTGGAAGCAGCCTATTGTTGGAGTTGAAGCACCCCCAGCCCCATTGCCCAAGGAAACGACGACAAGAAGATGAACTCAGATGATTAAAAATGCAGAGCAGAACACAGCCACTGAAAGATCTCTGGGACTGGCAGTCTTACTGTATTAGAAGATGCTGATACTGGAGGTGCTGCATTTGGATCAGGGCCAACTCTTGCTGTCTGGTCAGCCGCTCTTGATCCAGCTCGCCCTATATTTAGGAATAAAACATTCTATGTTAATAACATATATAAGAACAGTAGTATATTGCAAATGCAAGCAAGGTAAGAGTCGCATTCTGAACAGACAAGACAAATAAAATAGAAAAATATCTAGACAGAGATCGCATTTACAAAGCCTGTAGTATGGTGACTGTGAAATACACAGCACCTGTGTGTGTCACAGGACCAAGCCTTCCAGCCCCAGACATAAACATGTTTAAATTGAGTGCCTTTTCTCCTCTAAAAAAGTAATTTCACACAGGGTTCAACTTTGGTGCTGGTAACACCTACAATTCCACAGAGCAGCTGACAGGTAAATAGTTCAATTTCTGTTTGTTACAGGACTATTTGAATACTGTAACTGTCACATAATTACCAGATGTGGAAGCGGTGCTGGACCTGAAGTGAAGGGAACCCTGCCCCACATTTTCATGATGTCTCCAAGAGGCTGGAAAGTCTCATCACAGGCTCTCTTAACCAACAGCGACATAGTGAAGTATCCAGCCTGGAACCACTCTGCCATCTCCTGATTACTGAAAGGACCTGAAATAACACCAACCAATATACATGGGAGGGAAGAGGTAGGAAGGCCAAGTTGAGCATACTGGAAACAAAGAGCATGGTGCTTGTTAAATGCATTCCTGTCCGTCTCATCCACTACATTCAAGACCGAAGTGCCAATGTGTGTAACTAGAACTTTCCAGTGGCTACAGCATTCCCCAGAGAGTCTTTACCAAGAAGCGTATGACTGCTTTTACCATGCACCGGAGGGAGACAGGGCAGCTCTGAGATGAAAGCCAAGCAACCACGGTGGTATGGAGCTTGGTCCAGCTAACACTCCTCCTGCCTTCTAGCAAGGCTCCCTGCCACAGGCTCAGCATCAGGTCAATGACCACTACCATTTCCAGTTTGGACCTCAGCAGCGCACCCACTAGCTGACAGTGCTAAAAGCACAAGAGCTACTTTCCCCACATATACTGCACAGTTAATCAATCTTTCCCTGTTTCAGCTCTTGCCTTCAAATCAGAGGAATTCATATGTTTTCTACTAGTTTTGCTTCTGAACTTAGCAGATGAGCAGATCCACCTCTGAGTGCAAGATTACATTTTTTAAAATAAGGAAAGCGGTTTCTCTTAACTTTTGCAAAAAGTTACACTTCCACATTATCCTGAGAACTATATGTCACTCCCTTCAAAGGGGGACTCCTATATTTATTTCATGAATTCAAACAGACACAAAGATGGCATTAAAAAAAATTTAGAGTAAGAACCACGTAAATATAATTTTCCAAATATATCTTCTGAAAAGCAAGTATGTTCAGTAATTCTTGCCTTCCCTGTAACAGAGTCTTTAGAAGGTAATTCCTCCCAGAGAATAGGAAACCACAAAAGGTATCCCAAGAAAAAACTATGTGGGAATGTTTCGTTCTACAGGTCACATTCACAGAAATACTTACTCCAATGAAAAACTGTTAGACCATCACCAAGCAATAAACACCCAGCAGCGACCAACATACTAGGCAAATAAAAACGCTTTATGGTTAACATCCTTTAAGCTTAAAGAGGTGAGAAAACCCTAAAGACGTGTACTACCCACAGATAAGAGACTGGCACTGATCCCACAAATAACACCCCCACATAGCCTACATAGAGTTCATAGCTGAGGAAGTCATTCACACTAAACAACGTTAGCAACTACTACTTTGTCAGTACAGCAAGTAAGGAACTCGGGGCTTAATTGCATTTTTAGGAGGCAGCTAAGCAGCTGCTGAAAAAGAGCCCTGCGACCTCCAAAAGAGAAGTACCTTCTGAAAGCGAAGATGCCAGTACCTATACAAATGGTCCGTTACAACTTTCATGGCAACAAAATTGACACTTCTTAAGCGAAAATGGCAAACGTGAAACAGTTTTGGTATTCTATGAACTAATAATGAACTGGCTACAAGTACAATTGAAACTGTGATTGTGTGAGCACTGGCTTGTGAAAACTGGGTTTCTCTATCTTCTAGATTCTAAACCTTCCCTGAATACTCAGTGTCTTTGGGCTGAGACTAGAAAACCCATTTCAGTGTTTCTTATGAATTCTTCATCAACAAGCTACTGCATGGTCACATTGTTGTTTTGTTTCCCCTATTTTCTGGAAATCTGAGTAAACACTGGCATGAAAAACAGGTTTTATCTAACCACCATTTACAGAACCATGGAGTGATGGCAAACCTTAGCCACCATAAAGGATTATTCTGGACATTAGGCATGCTGAGCTGATGGGGGCAGTGATGGGTAGAAGATCTATTTTCAAAACCTAATTCTAGGGTGGTAAATTCCCTGTGCTGCTTTTGTGAAAACAAGCATCAGTAACTGTTGGCAGTAATTTGGTGAAGAACTTTAACAGTTCTGTGAAACGAAAGAGGAAGTGTAAAGGGCACAGACCTACCCTGAATTTCTCCTTGTGGATCTTTGTAGTACCACTTCTGCATGGCTTCATGGAACATTGGCATAGAGGAACCCTTTGCTCTGTGCTCTTGAATTTTTGCTGCTAGTCTTTCATCATCAAGGGCACTGTCCTGCAAGTATGCCACCATTTTCTCTGCTTGCTGCAGGAGACATCAAAATCAGCAAGGAACACAAGAGTTAGTTGTGTGCTTACAGATCTGGAAAACAGTGCACCAAATACAACCACCCTGTACTATCCAGTGCTCAGGAATGTACCAGGAATCACATGCAACTCAAGAACCAGTGTAACACTGCACCTCAAACCCAGAGCTCAGTCTACTCCCCCTTGTCAGAATCATGAACAAGCACAGTTCATTTGCTTAAGTAAAGCTTCAAAACAGCTTGCCAAGAAGGCCCCACACAGTACCATGGTGAAAAAATAAAACAGGTATGGAAGCACAAGCATGGAAAGTGTTCTACATTTCAGCAGTCACCAAACTTACATGAACATGGTCTGCGCTTTGTTCATGGGTTTGATTGTTGTTGGTTTGGGGTTTTGTTGGGTTTGGTTGGGTTGTTTATTATTATTATTATTTTTAAACACACTGGGCATACTGTTTCACAGTTACTCAAGGCAAATAGTAAGGCTACTTGACAGTGGTCACAAGCACTAGTATCTCTAGCTCTTTAACACTGGGTACAGTACCCTTATTCAGGAAAAGGCCATAAGCTTGGATTATTCTCCAAAAAAATACTGGAGGGAAGAAAAGTAGCTTTCAGTATACATTGTGGAGTGTAAAGTTTCAGCTGCATTTCAGTTTTTATGGGCTTCACATTTTTTTTGCATTCCACATTCCTCCAGTCTCACAATTGTCAACAACAAAGGAATTTGAGAAATGATACCTGCTCTAGATGTTTGAGGCCCTCTTCATCATCTGGGTCAGTGGGAATGTTGCCCATGCCTGGAGCAGCTGTGACAGGTGTCTGAACTGGCCGCAGAGCAGGATTTGAATTGGAAACAGGAGGAGAAAGATGAGCAGGAGAAGCTGTGTCTGCAGAAATCTGTGGCAAAGGTTGAGCAACAGAAGCCAAATCTAAAGAAAAATGTTAAAATTAGTTCATTATCTTTAACATAAGTGAAAATGACTTCAGAACTTACTGTGAAAAACATTCAATGGCTCAAAATTAGCACTGAAGCAAAAAGTTTCCTGTATGTATGACTGCACATTGGTACCGATTACAGCACAGGCACCCAACCTAACTTCAAGGAACAAAGAGTTTAGTTCTAACAGTGCAGAACTCAGATTTCAGCATATCCCATCCCCCTGCCACATACATTTGTCCAGACTTATCTGCTCCACCACAATAAAACACATCCACAACTAGCTCCTGCTTCTGTGCTTCTGTACTGCGTTGCAATATGAATTATCAGTGCACTGCAAGCATTTGAGATGGCATATCCAGCAAATTTTGTATTTATAGACCAGTTGGTGAATTCCAGCTTTTCAACAACGTAATCCAGTCCTCACCTCTTAAAAGAGACCAAGACTAATCACAATGAGTAATGGAAACTTACTACATTTATCTGTCAAGTTTATTACCTTCCCCTCTGTTGGACATTTTGGCTGGCGGTGTGTTCTCCGATCGATTCTCTTTGTCTTCTGTTTTTTCTGTTCTTTCTGGCACAGACTCCTCCTTCCTTTCAAAAAGGCTTGTCTGCAACAGGTCTGGAGGCTGGGATTTCGGTGGGGTATCTGACCTGGCAGCTGGTGAAGATGTTTGGACTGCTTCTTCCACTGCTTCTGTAACATGGCATGATTCTACGTAACTGAATTAACAGAAATACTACTCTGCAGCATAGAACAGGTGCATGAAAAGTCTCCCTTACCTGCCACTACTCTATCTGTTTTCTCCCCCTCTTTCTTGGTGGTCTTTTCATGATCTTTGGCTTCTTCGTTGTGGCTCCCCTCAGAGTCAGATCTTTCTTCCCCTTCCTCTACAGGTCGGAAGTCCATCTCCTGTTCCTCAGGGATTGGCTCCTTCTGCACCTTCTACAAAGTCAACATAATCATCCATAATCCACCGGACGTAACAGGACATTTGCTCAAAGTGAACAAAGGGCCCAAGACAGCTTTTCACCTTTAAAGAGAGAAATGCTCCAGAGGAGTCAAATGTTCCCATTTCTTCTTCTGCATCTTCTAAGCACCACTCAGGGAGACTGTCCCTGTCATCATCCATGCTGCCACTCCCACACCGTACTCGTCGATAACCCCGTTCATCATCTCGTTCCCGGAAATCGAATTCAAACCTCCGTCGTCGCTCCATGTGTTCTCGCCAGCCTGCAGAACGAGGGCCGTCTAAGGTGGGGGGAAAGTAACTTTACAAGACAGTCCCGAGGGTGGTAGCTTACTTGGAAGAGTGAAGGGGCAGGTGAAGAGATGACAAACAGTGACAGAAATTCAGAAAGCCCCTACAGGGTACAATCCACCTATGAACAGGCATCTTAAAGGACAAGGGAAAGAAAAGTAATACCTTACCATTACACAGGAGACCTTCAAATATTGTCCACAGTATATCCCCCCCACTATAAATTGTATTACAAGCATTAAAAAAAAAACCAACATGAAAGGCTAGCAAAGCTGGGCTACATAATGTAAAACATGTTGGAGCACCAAAACAGGACAAGTGATACTAGATGCTGATTGAATTTACCAGCCATCATTGACTTTGAACTGTTAGGGCATCTTTAAGATGTTTTATTTGCTTTTATGCAATCTGCAAGAGTCACATCCTAAACAAACCGCCCATGCTGTTTTCCTCCCGTCCTCAGTAACACCTTTGTGCATACATGTGAAAAATGGACAGATGACTAGTCAAACACCTTTGCAAGGACTGTTAAGTCCCTCGAACTGTAATGTTTTTAGCCACAGAACACTGAAATTTGGAATGATAAGGAAAGGAGTAAAGCTTCCCAAATTCAAGTATAAATTTGATTTCACTTTTCTTTCTAATCTATTCATAAGTCATTTTCATTCAGCCAAGCTTAAAACCCTGACTGCAATATTGCTATTTAAACTGTAAAGAACTTGGTGCTAAGCAAAACAAATTGGGAGTGAAAGGATTGTAACCAGCTGTCCATCCAACAGAAGCTACCTTCATCTGAAAGGTGCACAGCAGGGATAAAAGCACCTTAGTTTTTAGTGCTTTTAGCGGTGGCTGAGTTTTCTGAAGAAAAACCATCATATGTTTTTTGTCTCTGAATTTGTGCAATCAGTGGAGCCTCACTGTTTATTAAACAGCTACCAAAAAGTCACGGTAAAGAGGAGAAACTGTTCCATTTGCTTCATATGTATGAACAATGTTTCCACATCCATCCTAATACCCTAAGCATCAATTAATCATGCAAAAATCCACCTCTGTTTCACAAACACAAGGAATGTTAAACAAACTCCTAGAAGCAATATGAACTTTAAGATTACATTTTATCAAGGAATGGACTTTTACAGGGCCTTCATTGTACCGTATGTGCTTGTTTGTAAATAATTCCACTGCATAACTTAATCTATGCTTCTAGTTATGCCTTGGAAACAAACAACATTTTTGGTATGCAAAACTGTCAAATCGATGTTGAGACCACCTTTTTTAACGTTATTAAGGAAAGAAGTAAGGCACAGTAAGCTTGCACTTAGCCCATATTGTCTGCCTGCTTTAAAGTAGTACTTAACATCTTAGGTTTATCATGACAACCTCTTGTTCATCAGTAACTTCTCAAAAAACAGGTAAGCGAAGACAAAGGCTTGCTGAAGATGCAGTAATGGAGTACGTACCCAAGAAAGCTCAAGTAACAACCATTTCATGCATCCTCCTCAGAAGAGGGTACCTGCAGCACACCCTGTGCACCTCTGCCCACAGCACCCTGGCCTCAGAAACCTGCACCTCCTGAGCATGCACTAAGGGCCTCGGAAAACGAATCTAATCTTTATTTTGCTCCATTGTACTTCAGCTGCTTTAAGTTATTCAAAAAGCATGAAACAAAATGGACAAAAAATAAGTTTGACTCAGTAGTCTATTCTGAAAATTAAAGAACCAAGATGAATTTGAAAAGTTTAAAAAAAAAAACCAACCAAAAAAAGCAAACAAAAAAAACTTCATGAGATTACAGACAGATTCATGAGATTACAGATTACAGCCCCTCCAAAATGCTTTTCAGGGAAAAGGTCATAATAGAGCTGCTTAAGCAAAGAAGAAAAATCATAACAAAAAGAAATTTTAGGCAAGAAGAGATGATAACTATTCCCTAAGGATGACTTGGTAACAAAAAACAAAGCCAAAAGCATCATTCACTTATTTTGAGACCAAATGGGGTTTGCATATGTATCTGATAAAATGGACTTGCTTTGCAAATTTCAATCGCCATCACTGTTTGAATGAAGAACTGGAACAGAAGAACAAAGGGACTTAAGGTCATTAAATAATTAAAAATGATGGTTTTTAAAAAAATTAAGATCAAGGGAACTTTGAGGTAGCCAGTGATTCTAAAGCTATGGTTACACTGTTCTTAGAGATAGTGAACCCAGTCTAAATGATCCTATTCCACATCTACAATAGCAGTGGTACCACATTTACCCAGAAGTAGCAAAACAACTTCTCCATTGTAAAAGCCAAGGGAAGATGTCTTCTCATCAGACTTCTATTCCCAGTGTACAAACAGTAGTAGAGAAAGTAGAAAACCCCATAAACTGACTGGAAAAGCTTGCTGATGCAATCCAAACAGTTTTCATGCTGCAAAAGTAGACAAGTTAACATCCTTCTGAATTAAGCAGGAAAAGGCATTAGGGTTGTCTATTTCAAGAAGTCTGACCAATTTGCTTCTTTACTACCAATATTCAGAACACCCACTTCATATGAGGCGTAGCCATGTGAGCGGAGAACAGTTTGAACACAGCATGGACACATGACAGATCCCTTTCACTGTGTCAAGGGAGTTAACTTTAGCTACAATAAATCAGACACAGAATGTGGGAAACTATACTTAGGGGCACAAGACTGCTTCAGCAGAAGCAGTCCATCCTCTTGATCATTTGTGCTTATTAAAAAAGCACAAAATGAGCAGATTTAGGTCAGACATCCTGCAGTAAACACAGCTGAAGGAGCAAGAGGAATTCAAAAGCTGGAAAAACAATTGTTCCTGGGAATCAACATATTCTTTGCTTAACAACAGAAGATAAACTCAAGCCTAACAACTGCTACATTCAAAACAAACGACATACAATCTAGCAGGGAGTTCGCAGAGAGCCAAGCCAAAGGTAGGTCCAGCTAAACAAATGACAGTACTGAAGACATCTCTATTTTTAGCAGGACGGATGATTAGTACTACTACCTAACAGCAGAATAAGTACAAAGAAGCCGTTTGAGCCATGCCAATCTGGGCTAACCTCATTGTTTAAACCAAGAACATGATTAAAACCGTTTTGATGGTCCTGTGGCTACTACTAACAGGAGAATTCAAATACAGCTCTGACCAAGGCTGAGAGACTAGTACAATACAGCTGTCAACTCAGTCTGTCTCAAAATTAGCAACTTGTCTGCAGCTTCACAGAATTCTGAGAACAGGCTTTTTATTATACCTGCTAAAACTAAGTTGTAAGTGAAGTTAAGTTAGTTGTTTACTACATCAAAAATTCAAACAATCAGTAATACTTCCTATGATGGAAGTAAGATGAATTTTCAAAGCCTTCCTCAGAACATCTTCCAAAAAAGTTCAAGACATGAATGAACTTCTGAACTTTGAGGTCTATGCTTCCTTTTAAGCTAAAGCATGCAGGCTTGTCCTTGCAAAACACTCCACTCCTGAGTATCATGCTGCATCTGATCATCATGAGGTACTATCATAGCTGGCCTGATGTCATCTGAACTATGTAACAAAGCACCAGTGTCTAATGAACAATCATGACCAAACACTGGGGAAAAGAAAATGACATTCTTCAAAATTTGCCCCTTAGCCCTGCTCTAAATAGAAAACATCTGATAATAAATCTGGCCTTGCTCTCACTGCTAAATTTTAGTACAAGCTAACAGTTGTTTGAGGGCAGAGCAATACATAGCTGTGGAGAAGGTTAGGAACAGAGTTAATGGCTGTGAGCAACCATTATAATACTTAAAAAGTCCTTTGGGATGTCAAAAAGGGTGGTAGACCCATTGTAAGAGCAAGTGTGACTTTCCTCAATTGAAGAAGTTGTCCAACTCAGCCCCAAAAACGTCCCATGCTTTCTTTGCTTCCCTATGAAAATGTAGCAGTAGGGGAGCCACAACCCTCCTTTGGTTCCACAGAAGCCTTCTGCAGCCAGAAGATAGCCAAACCCAAGATCCCACAATAGGTAGGACTGGCTAGCAGGATCTTTTTTAAGAAAAGAAGTTTCAGCCATACTACTCAAATACCAAGCCCACTTTGTATTTCTTCTGCAACTCCGGCAATGCAATGCTGGAACACAAGTGAAACAGATTGACTGGGAACTCGAAGGAAGTGAACTGACTGGAATAGTACAAATCATGTGTTGGGCCAGGGAAGAGGAGAGTGACACCAAACAGATGTCTGAAATTTAGCAAGACAAGACATCCTGTAACTAACTGCAAGACCCATAGAGCAACATATTGAGAGATTTTCCAAGGGCACTTCTTGGCATTCCAAACACATTTGGAAAACTAGAAAGTGGCCAACCATCTGAATGGCTTAGTGTCAGCATCACCCTGCAGCGCCAGATAAGCTACCTACGGTGGGTAACTTCTCTCCCCTCAGCATCACAGACTCAGAGGAACAGTACTATTAAAAACACACCCTGATTTTACCAGGCACATACACACCTGGAGCACACAGACAAGCACACACCAGAAATATACTGCTTCCTTAAATACATTAGGGTACTGAAGACATTAAAAAGAAAACAAAAAGCACATAATTTTGTGCTAATGATTTTGTGACCAAGACCCTCATCTATGCCAAAGCAGTATTTATCACACAAATCACATGAACGTTACCTATTTTTTTTCCCCAAACTTCATGCCACCTCCCTCTCCTCTGCTTTCCCTGTGCCGATTCACTTTCCTTACAACTACGGCTGCATTTTCTCCAGATCTCCTCTCACCTGGACTGTGAGGGCGCCACCTCTCACCATCCCTCCGTGACCCTGCCAGTCGCCAGCCTCCATCATCATCTTCCCCATTTTGTTCCTCTCTGAAGATGCGCCAGTTCTCGCTCTCAGAGCGTATAAACTCGTGCTTCCTTCCCGCTGTTGCTGTCCCGCCTTCCTCAAAGTTTGGTCTCACTGCAAAGAAAAACACACACCAGTGAACATGCATCCCATCTTTACAAACCTAGAAATAAAAGGGTTGAAATCTTGCTCCATTACAGGCAAAAATACACCAGAGGTAAGTGGTAACAGGAACCTAGGAGAGAAATGCAAGGAAACATATGACAGATGTAGGAAATCCTCCCATGCCTCTGCACACCTTGGGATGGAAAGACAGAGGTAAAAAAATACAGAAGAAAGCAATGCATACAAGAAATCATGACACGCACAGGAGAGACAGAGGAGGAACAGATGACAGTTTAGGAGACATAAGGAAGCATAAAAGAAACCAAAGTGTGAAGAGAGAAAGAATAAATTGCTGTATCATGAGAAGTCTCACGCTAAAGGAAAATGGGAATACAGAAAGCTGTAAACTTGATATAAACCAAACATATTTGCTACTTTTGTAATAAAAAGGAGATGTCTATGTATTTAATCCAGTATTATGTACAGCATTCTTATAATGTTTTAGGGAGGACTGAAAATTTAAAGTAGGATTAAGCAAGCAAAACACAGCAGTGTTAACATTATCCTGTGAATCCATCTTCTGGAGAGCCAAGGTCAACATATTAAGTGTTAGAAGCAACCATGTTCGAGCTAAAGGACAAGTCTATCACAAGTTTAAGAGACAGGAATGTCTTTTAGTTTTTAATTTATATTATATTAAAAAAAACAAAACACCACATAAAATCCTCAAGTACTTAATGAAAAACAAGAGTGCCACAAAAGGATGATCTAAATCTTTTGATAAAAAGAAGACACATTATACACCAGTATGTTAGACATAAATGCTGCTTTCACTGTTGACTCATCCTGACAGGGATACACCATCACTGACATAAATTATATATATACGTATATATATGTGTCTTGGAGAAAAACCAACATCCCTTCTCCACCATCTCAAAACACCGGAGGCAAAGTAACTACTTCTTTCTCCAGCTCAAAATTTTCCAGGGAGTATTGTTTTAGGGAAGGACTATAGTGAAAGTACAGGTGGAATTCAATCCAGAGCACAAAATCCAAGATGTTTCCAGTCTCCCATAATCCAGGCTCACATGAAAACCTTTTACCACTGTCACAGGAACAGGTTTACACAAGAAATTTCAAGATGGCAGAGACCTTGACCTATCAAATAGACAGGAGAGGCAAGAAATACCTCAGTGTTTTAGATGCAAGAGTTCTTCCACCCTGATGACTACTGGAGTGACTACAAGTGTTTACTTGAGAACCTCAGAAAGGTAACTGGAATACCTTCCTCTTACCTTGTTTCTTTATAAAGAAAGAGCTAAAGTACATTGCTTGTTGATGCTCAGGATGTACTTCAAATTAGCTAATCTCAGCTATGAAGCCTAATAGAACCCAGATACACATTTATTTCACTGAAGGGGACATCTGGCTAAAGACCACTTTTGTACTTGCTGGGCTTTGAGAACCAAGATTTTAAACCAGTGAAATCTCTGCTGATACTGGCTCCAAATAAACAAAATAGCTGGCGACACTCAACTCCCTTCATTTGGTAGGTGCAATATTGGCAAATTTACTTATTGGAATGGATAAATATTTGCAGATGAAGGTCAACAACATTCTGTTTTCCCAGGCTTCACAGAAAATAAGGAAAGACAACAAGCTAGACAGCGATCTTAAGTCTGGAAAATATAGGGTGTTTTTTCTGTTTAGGTCTCTGAAAAATGTCACGTAGAAGAATGTAACAGAAGTGCACGGAAGCCTCTCAGTACTGCTCCTTCAAATGGCTTTGCATAGAAGAAAACTAGGAGACAGAGCTACAGAGCCAAGTCAGCTGAAAGTAACACAGACAAAAACAGTGGCCCAGAAGAGAGCTGCAATCCAATAGTCCAGATGGGGTTAAGACTCAGATAAGGAATATGCCTCATTCTTTCTGTATTTATTTTTAAAATGCTAAAAGAAAGAAGATGTATTTTTTTAATTCTGCAGCACAACACTTTTTCCTAAAACAGTTCAACAGAAAAGTTATTCAATTTGTTATTTTGACTAGAGAAATACAGTTTTTAAAGATGCAGCTATTCTTTTCATCCAAATTCACAGCTATTACCTGATACACATCCAATAACATTAAAGAGATTTTAGACTCTACCAATTAAGAAGGAAGATGTCTTTACATTGTTACTAAGTTCAGTTAAGATCCTGCAGACTGCTCTTTAAACACCAGCAAGCTGTCAGCTCACAGGCTCTGCTCCACATTTCCAAAAACACTGGGAAAAAACCATTACCTCAAGAATATCATAAAGTCTACTTTGACACTGAGTATCTGTACTTCCTCAGCCCCGCTGCAGATACTACATGCTATAGGCATACCCAAGGCAACTCAGGTTTTCTTAGTACTTAAGACAGCTGGTTTTGCTCCCAAGAACTGAACTGTCAGAGTCACATTTTGTATTCTGAACTTGCAGAAACAAAACCCATTTGCTGCTGTGGGTTTTGAAATGTACACCTCTACAGAGGTGACAAAACATCAAATGCTGTTTGCGAACACCAGACATAAGTGGGATGCTGCCCCTCCTCTTATTTTAATTTCTACAGCAACAGAAATCTAAGAAACAGGAAAAGAATCAATTATAAGGGGTCAATATTATATTCAGCTGAGGATGGTATCACCTGTGATTCTGAAAACTTTCTAAACCCAGCAGCAGTCCAGAGTGTCACATCAGGTGAACATTCTGATGCCACACTTCAGTGGAATTGAGAGAGAAAATGCAGTGTTATCATGACATGCTTAACTTTTCTGGTACTAGGACACTGTAACAAGCAATATTCAAAGACAGCAAGGGATGTATCAAAACAGATCTGGCATCAGATGATCTTGAACATTAGACAGACCAGCCAAGAAAATAGTTGTTTACATATACAAACTGGTCACTGGTCAAGGATGAGAAAAAAACCAAGCTACCCAAGTGACAGAAAGACTATGACAAAACTGTACACAGGATTACTCCTACAGCTTACCTACAAATTCCTAACTTTCAAAGTCCTAGCACACTGTCATTGCAAACTCTCCCTAGACTTGAGAAAAACTCATTTCAGCTGAAATTACTTAGGTCAGAGAGTCAGTATTTGGCAATGTTTTAAGGATAAAAAAACTAAAATGTAATCTATGGTTTTGTCTTGGACTAATTGAGTGGACTTCCTGAAGGGAAGGAGCAGTAAAAGGGCACCTCTGTTCAACTCTGTCACAAAGCCAGCAATGGTGTTTACAGAAAACTTGAGATAGAGCCTAGTGGTATCCAGCCAAAAAAGCCTACAGCTGTGCAACGCTGAGTTGAAGGGAGACTAACCGCGAAGAACAAGCCTGGGATTCTGGGACATAGCCCCGTGGCAACACGTTTATGAAGAGGACTTACTAACAGAATGGCAAATAACTTCTGTTCTCCATGCTGTCAGTCCACGTTTCCTATGACATGCTCACTGTTTGGAGAGAATAAACAGGAAAGCAATGATTGACAGCAATACTGTTTTCTCTAAAGAGGGAGGGAAACTAGGAAAGTCTAAGTATTTTGACTTGCTCTCTTTTCTGCTGCATACTACACACTCTCAAGAAGAGGATAAAAAGAAAAAGTTTGGCAGCTAGTGTTTATGAAGGAATTCAAATCACTCTGCCTAGATGTGTAATTCTGTAGCTCATTTTACAAAGGACTAAAACAAGTGGCCTTAAGATGACGCTTCTAAAGGAGGACTACATTCTCCTCAGGACAGTATTTGACATGCTAAGGACACTACAGGAATACATACATAGTGAAGTGATTCACTTGTAACCAAAGCCAGTGACAGAGATCTGAAGTTCTGATGCTGATTTCTAGCTTCACATTTTCTGTCTCTCCATAAAATCTCCATCTCAGACATCTCAAAGACGTACTACTCAAATATCACTCCCTATTTTTTGCTAAATTGACCATTATGCACTTCCATGAGTACAGGTGAGCCAGTAATTCCAAGGAATTAACATGAAGTTTAATGCCAGAACACACACCTGGAAACCACATACTGTAGCTATTTCATCTGCTATACAGTCATGTTGTGTTTTCAGTCCGTTCAGGTGAATCAGATTACAACACCTGTGGCTGGACACCACATGCTTTCTAAAGTACAAATATGGTTTGCATGAAGATATTGCTTGTTAAAAAAAAAAATCCTACTCATGAATAAAAGAGGCTGAATAAGAGAGGCTGGCTGTCATGGAAGTTCAGCTTTGCTGCAGGAAAGGGTCAAGGGAAAGCCACATTGTCCTACAGGCTTGCCGCAGCAGTAGGAGTCCCCCTGCACTACATTATTTGCTGTGGTTCTGAAGGTCACACTACGCCTATCACAACTTTCAGTGCTGTGCCTGAACATGTATTAAATAGTTCCATACTAATGAAACAAAGAATTAATGTTTTGCAATTTAGGGTTGGGGGGAAGGTTAAAGGAAAAAAAAAAAGTGAGGGAGGATTTTGTTTCCTAAGCAGGAAAGTCTACATTAATAATTTTCCCAGCAGGCCTTTAGTAGTTTTACTGCAAACAACCACAGCCTTTGTTTCTCAGATCCTCTTACAGCTGACATTCGATCAAAGCCCTCACATCAGCAGCTCACCAAGGGGAAAAAAAAGTGTGAAATACTACTGCATTACAAAGCTGTCCTCAGAGTTCGATTTAGCAGTGCAGCATGCTGACCACTCCGCACAGCTATTCAGCTAAACATCGTCCCTAAATAACTCTTCTCATTTTATAAGTGAGAGAGAGAAAATACCAAGTGAAAGTGGTATCCTTCACTGCATGGAATGAGCAACCCACCTAATCTGCATTGTTTCATTCCTAGGCTTTACGCAAAATCCTGTGATTAATTCCATGTTTTCATAGAGGAGCAATGTGGAGATGGAAGAGAAGTGGCCAGGTCTACATCTTCTGACCAGCATTAAACTACAGGTCAGCAACACCTTCCAGTGACCACAGGCTGCACCCTT